ACTATGACGTTTTTTGACATTTTTCATGCCTTACTATACTATGACATTTTTTGACCTTTTTATGCCTTACTGTACTATGACGTTTTTATGCCTTGTTATACTTGCCTTACAATACTGTGACATTTTTTGACATTTTTATGCCTTACTATACTATGATGTTTTTCAACATTTTTATGCCTTACTATACTGTGACGTTTTATGCATACTATACTATGACGTTTTTCAAAATTTTTATGTCTTACTATACTATGACGTTTTTTGACATTTTTATGCCTTACTATACTGTGACGTTTTATGCCTTACTATACTATGACGTTTTTCAAAATTTTTATGTCTTACTATACTATGACATTTTTTGACATTTTTATGCCTTACTATACTGTGACGTTTTATGCCTTACTATACTATGACGTTTTTCAAAATTTTTATGTCTTACTATACTATGACATTTTTTGACGTTTTTATGCCTTGTTATACTTGCCTTACAATACTATGACATTTTTTGACATTTTTATGCCTAACTATACTATGAAGTTTTTCAACATTTTTATGCCTTACTTTACTGTGACGTTTTATGCCTTGTTATACTATGACGTTTTTCAAAATTTTTATGCCTTACTATATTATGACATTTTTTTTGACGTTTTTATGCCTTGTTATACTTGCCTTACAATACTATGACATTTTTTGACATTTTTATGCCTAACTATACTATGAAGTTTTTCAACATTTTTATGCCTTACTTTACTGTGACGTTTTATGCCTTGTTATACTATGACGTTTTTCAAAATTTTTATGCCTTACTATATTATGACATTTTTTTTGACGTTTTTATGCCTTTTTATACTTGCCTTACTATACTATGACGTTTTTCAACATTTTTATGCCTTACTATACTATGACGTTTTTATGCCTTGTTATACTTGCCTTACTATACTATGACGTTTTTTGACATTTTTTTGCCTTACTATATTATGACATTTTTTGACGTTTTTATGCCTTACCATACTATGACATTTTTTGACGTTTTTATGCCTTACTATACTATGACGTTTTTATGCCTTGCTATACTTGCCTTACTATACTATGACATTTCTTGATGTTTTTATGCCTTACTATACTATGACGTTTTTTTGTCATTTTTATGCCTATGCTGGAATGCGCTAAAACATTTTACCCGTCGCGGAAGTACAACACTAAAACACTGCTGCTATGGAACTCTTTTTAAGTAGGTTTTGTTTTTGTGTTGAGTTATTTCCAAGCTTATGTAGTCGGTGTGTTTCCCTAGGGTTTTAAAAAGACCAGGTCGTACATCGCCGCTCAGGGTCCTCTGAGGTCGAGCACTGAGGACTTCTGGAGGATGATTTGGGAGCAAAACGCCAGTGTCATCGTCATGATCACAAACCTTGTGGAGAAAGGACGAGTGAGTGACCAGATCTGAGATTTACTCTGACATAATATAAAGTTTGTGAAGTGAAATCATTGACATTATTTTATTTAACAAATAAATTTCTCCTGACTTTGAGAGACATGATACACAAGATAAGCTTTTCTTACCTCATTACATTTTTAAGAAGTGTAATTCCTTTACACAAAATTCAAAATCCTAAAATTTCAGAGTGAAAAAGAAAAAAAAGTTAAATCTTTTATTAATTATTAAAATGCCATTTTTAATGTAATATTCTGAATCTTTTAAAGTGATTACACACAAAATAAAAACAAAAGAATTTCATGTTTGAATTTTTTTTTATTCTACATTTTTATACACATGAAAGACAAAAAAAAAAACTCTCTTCCTTGATTCATCATTTTCTCAGCCGTGTGTGATCTTTTGACTGTATCCTCAGAGGAAGTGTGATCAGTACTGGCCGACGGAGGTGCAGGAGGAGTATGGCAGCTTCCTGGTGACAGTGAAAAGCAGCAGAGTCCTCGCCTACTACACCCATAGGACCTTCACCATCAGGAACACCAGCGTCAAAAAGGTCAGTTAAACCAGGCACTTACATCACAGAAACGAAACAAACATTTTTTTTAAACATTCAAACATCACCCACAGTCCTTACATGCCCTCACATTTTCATGCTGTTTTCCTCTAATCACTAAAGCACATTAAATATAAATATGATTTCTATTAACTATGGTTGTTTGACCAGCACTCAGTGGCGCTGTCAGCCTCTATCATCCAGACATTTTCTGAATTCTGTTAACTTCTTTATCTTTTATAATCCTATACAGACCTGAAACATGAACGAAAAGTCTGTTTATTTTGCAGCAAATGATCATTGTCAGTAATAATAAACTTAATGGCAACACTGAAAAATTTTATATACAGTTTATAAACATGTAATAAAGGGGTTATAATATTCTAATTTAGTTAGTTACAAGCCAATGTAAATGTTTATTAATGTATTTTTAACTGCTATAAACTGCTGTATAACCAGAAAATGAATGATAATATAGTAAAACACGGCTGTAATCATATACTGCATGTTTTCATTGGACAAATTATAATTGTTGACAAATACTGTACATTAATAAAAATGTCGCAGTAACAATTAATAGATACTCTAGAGTTGATGATTAATTTTCTTTCCATCCAAACAGAGCAAAAGTAATTATTTAACAATGAAATAAAACAAAAACAGAATTAGTTCTATTCACACACAATTCATTATTATCACTGCAGCTCCAAAATAAACAGGAAAAATTTAAAAAGCATGTTAAATCTAAAACTGTCACAAAAAGTTTCTTATACATCCATATTGAATCTAGAGCCCAAAATCAAAGACATCTTTCCTGTTTCACATTCTGGACCCTTTAAGTTTATGAGTTTTTGTTGAAAGCTCCTGTTTGGTTCGTTCTACCTGCAGGCCTCCCAGAAGGGACGGAGCAACGAGCGGACAGTGACGCAGTACCATTACACCCAGTGGCCTGACATGGGCGTCCCAGAGTTCGCCCTGCCGCTGCTCAGCTTCGTCCGCAAGTCGTCCAGAGCCCGGACGGACAGCGTGGGGCCGGTGGTGGTCCACTGCAGGTGAGAGCAGATAAAACCAGATGAGATCAGGAACTCAACGTAACTGGAACAAACACCATACAGTCTTATATTAGCAGCAACAACTCTAATGTAAACAAATGCTTGTTATATTTTAAATGCTATTATATTTTAATTTTTAAATTCAGTCAATCATTTATTTATTATTATTATTTATTCACTATATGAGCTGTAACAAAACGTTTTATCTATTTTATTTGTTTTATCTTTTTTTTCATTTTACATGGTGCTGCTTGTATTTTGAAGTTGTGTGTATGGACTAGGACACTGGAAAAGGAATTGCCTTTCTTGGGATTAATAAAGTTGCCTGAATCTAAATTTGAAGAAATTACTAATAAACTAATAAAATGAAATCTTCTCTTCCTGTTGGCATGCAGCGCGGGCGTGGGCCGGACGGGGACCTACATCGTCCTGGACAGCATGCTGAAACAGATGAGAGACGAAGGCACCGTCAACATCACAGGCTTCCTCAAACACATCCGCACACAGAGGAACTACCTGGTCCAGACAGAGGTCAGAGGTCAACCCTCTGTCTGCACACACTGTCAAACAGTCTATAGTCTGACGCCAGTCTTTTAGTGATGACAGCAGCGTGATTTAATTCAGTCTGTCAGTCTGTCCTCCACTTTAGTCCAGACTGAAATATCTAAACATCTATCTCATGGTTTCTTCTGAAGACTTGCAAATCACCATAAGAGTTCTCACTCTGAGGGTCCCTGAGCTACAAAGAAAATTACAGGGAGTTAATGTTTGATACTAGATACTATGTTTGAAAATAGATCTTCCTTGGAGAAGCCCACAAATGAGTTCAAATTCATCTTTATGTCACATGTAACGTGGTAAAGGTTGGGAGGACATGTTATTGAAGAGAAGGAGTCTGCATCACATGGAGAACAATGTAAACACTAGTTTTCTGCTGCAACGACAATTATTAATTAGAGTGTGACCTCAGCACTGTCCGTCTCCTCTCAACAGGAACAGTATGTTTTTATCCACGATGCCTTAGTGGAGGCCATCATGTCCGGGGAGACGGAGGTGGTGGCAGCTCACCTGCACAGGTACATGGACGAGCTGCTGACCCCGGGGTCTGCTGGGAGGACGCGCCTGGACAAACAGTTCAAGGTGAGCAGCTCATCCAACTTGTTGTGTTGGATTTTAACAACAATACTTTCTACTCTAGAATATATATTGTTAACTGTACTATGATACTTTTGTTACAATTTGTTTAATTGTTCATTTAATTAACATTTTAAAATCAAAGCTAACGAAATCAGTGTAACAAAAAAGCTGAACAAGCAGAACTTCGTTTAAAAATGTTAAGATTTTGTCAACTATTATTGTGCATAGATGTTGTATTATTCACAGCTCAGAATGATTCATACTGATTCCTCAATCACTAACAGATGTTTTGTGTTTTCCACAGCTGGTTTGTCACTCCGGAGTGAAGCAGTGCGACTACTCTGTAGCTCTGCAGGACTGCAACCGCAGCAAGAACAGAAACTGCTCTGTGGTACCCGGTGAGTCCGACGTGTTTGTCAGTTAGCCTGATGCTAATCTTGCTAAAGTTAGCCGAGGCCAAGAGACGATAAACCTCATCTTGTGTCTTTGCAGTGGAGAGGTCACGAGTGCGTCTGTCTACGTCGGCGGGGGAAACGTCAGACTACATAAATGCGTCGTACATCACAGTAAGAAACAATTAAGTTTTTTATGCTTTATACTTGTAGTTTGAAAGGTAAATATTGTACCTTTCACTCCACTGTATTTATATAGTATGGGTGACAATATATTTGGTATAGTGGTTATTGTTATTATTTAGATTATTAATATAATATGTAATCAACGAATAAATAATGACGTATTATGACACATTAAATCACCCCACAGTATAGAAAGTAATTAAAATTAGCTCTACCTTTACCAGCTGCAGCATTAAAGTGATGCACATTAATTAATGCGTTAATAATAATAATCCAAAAATATATATTATCCTGAAATCAGCCATTCTGCATTATGAGTACTTTTACTTTTGGTACTACAGGTATATTTGGATGCTAATGCTACAATATCAGTTTAAGAGCATCTTCCCATCATTTAAAAGTTGTACTGTTCCTTTAACACATCATAAGTTGAATTACTATCTCCCTGTTCATGTGGATGTTATATTTGTTCCTTACTACTAACTATATTGTGTAATCTGTTTAATGATAAAAAATGATTGAATAGTGAGGAGTGAAATTAATTGTTTTGTCCCGATTTTGTTCCTGCAGGGTTACAGACAGAACAGTGAGTTCATCATTACCCAGAATCCTCTGCCTGGCACCATAAAAGACTTCTGGAGAATGATATGGGACCACAACACCCAGGTCATCGTGTCACTGCCGGGGACAGCAGCAAGTGTGGTGAGGAACTGTTTTGTGGCTGTATTTGGGAAACACTTCAATCTAATGCCTGTTTGCTAATTACAGACCTGCAGTCAGGACATGATTAGCTTAGCTTAGCATAAAGACTGGTCTTGATGACTTCCTGTGTTGTTAGATGGAGGATGAGGAGGGGGCGGCGTCATCTGTCTTTTGGCCCCGCAAAGGGCAGCCAATCAGCTACGAGATGTTCACTGTCACTCAGAGAAGCGAGGGTCACGTCTGTCTGGCCAACGAGGACATGCTGGTGGTCCAGGAGTATGTGCTGGAAGCTACACAGGTCAGTGGAGCTTGGAACAAGACAACTTCACTTAGACCACAGAATCATTGAAACTAAATAAATTTAAACTTATTTTTTTATTGTCTACACAATTTTTAATTTTATTTGACAAGGTTTTGAGACGTGTGTCTCCAAGGTTTTTCTTTCACAGCGTCTCTTTTAAGTTGAGTTATGATTCTTGCAAAAGCATGAGTCAAATATCATATTTTTCAGACTTTGGGTGCAACCTATGAAAATCGTTCAAGTCTCTACCATCCATTTAGCAAAATCACCCTTATGAATTGTTGTTGATGTCCACTCTGTCCCCCTCCTTATTTCGACAGGACGACTTTGTTCTGGAGGTGAAACACTACCGCGCCCCCCGCTGGCCGAACCCAGACAGTCCCATCAGCAACACCTTCGAACTGCTCAACCTGGTGAAAGAGGAGAGTACTGCCAAGGACGGCCCTACTGTGGTCCACGATGAGTAAGACCTTCTCTGACCCAACTTTACCATTATTAGAAGATGTTTTACAGTGAAAATCAGGAGCACTTTTTTTTTTCAGTGTGGGCGGAGTCACAGCAGGAACGTTCTGCACCCTATTGTCTCTGACTCACCAGCTGGAGGCCGAAGGTTCGGTCGACGTCTTCCAAGTGGCCAAACTAACAAACCTCATGAGACCAGGAACCTTCAGCGACATCGTAAGGCTTTACTCTGTCTCACCGTACGCTGATGATAATGTGCTGTACGTCTCAGAAAATGGGATACATACCTGTACTCTACAGCACCAAAGTGAGATTTCAGAGCAGGAACAGAGGATGCTGTCACTCCATGGACACTTTTCAAAACACTACACCAGTACTAACATTAATGATACTTCAGAGTGAAATACTACGGATCTAGACCTGGTTCTGAAGAATCAGGTGGTCCACTGTGAACCTATCCTTTAGCTAAGCTAACTGAGAATGACTTTGGAATGGTACATAATGCTGTAACAGTAAAATGGTTTTATTGTCAGTATGTTATACCATAAATAAAGCTGTATTTTATGGGTCTGTAATTTCCAAATAATAATTTTCCGTTAAAAAAATGTAATTTGGTAATAATTACAGATAAAATGGAGACGGTTTTCAGACGGTACATTTACAATTAGGTAATTCAAATGAATTGCTACAGTGGCCTAGAGAGTCTTTTGTCAGTGCACAGCAAGTCAAAAAGTTAAAAAATAGCATACGAACTAAATGATAACTGAATGAATGAATACTTCCTTTCAGTTAAAATGGATCACTTCTTTCAAGGACCTTCCTGTTGTCCCCATAATTAGTACCAATGTACTTAATTCTTATTAGGAAACTTTCTAGAAAATAATTTGGGAATTACGCACCCATAAAATAACATGTTATTACAGTAATACAGAGCAAAGCTGCAACAGTTAGTTGATTAAATAGCAAATTATAACTTTTTTCATTTTATAGACCAAACCATTCCTCAAAAACATAAATCAGCATATTAATTGATAATGTAAATAATTGTAACAATGACATACTGTAACCTTGATAATCAACTAATATTGTTTACCTGTTGTTTTAAAGGAGCAGTACCAATTCCTGTACAAAGCCATGCTGAGTCTCATCGGGACGCAAGAAGACGAGAAAACCCTCCAGTCCTCCGACAACAACGGGACGATCGTGGTGGGAACTGCCAGCACCGCAGAGAGCCTTGAATCCCTGGTGTAACTGCCCAAAAAAATAAAACAACCACAAAGAACTTTTAACTTTTTTAACTTTTACAAATGAGAAACAGCATTTGGTCTTTCCTCTTCAGCCACCAACAGAACTTCTCCTGATGCCAGACTCACGCTACAGCTACTAAATAAAAAAAAAAAAATTCCTCGTCATTCAGGACTGTGTGTGTTGTTGTAGTTTGAGGCTGGCACGTACCGAGCGAGTTTTCTTCTTTGCTGGATCTGGACTCCCTACGGTTTTGTAATGTGTGCCTTTTTGTATTTTTCATCCTGTACGTCTAACTTTGATACAAGCTGTAGACTAACTGTCCGACGTTTTAACGCTGTACTGCCCTGAGATGTTTCACTCAACTAACAATCTTTTCCTAAACCTTTGTATTTATTGGCACTGAGCCAAATGGGATAAAAAAAAAGGGAAAAACTGCATCTTTTTACATCAAATGAGATATTTTGTTAGCCTGTCTTTTATAGAGCTCATGCACTGAACTCCTCCTCTCTGTAAATACCATCGCAATGGTAGCAGCAGTGTGCAATTGAAGTCAAATATAAAATAAGGGCCTGAAATAATAAAAAATAATAATAATCTAATGTAAATAATATTATAGTAATCACCTCGATGGACCAAATTTCTATTTATACTTTTAGATTTTTATATTTTACCATTTTTAGTGCATTCAAATGTTATGGTTTAATTCTAATTGCTTAGTTGGAGAACATTAATGCTTTTATATTCTGGATTTTGTAACAGACTAAATGTGATGCATGGGGTACTGACATGTTTGTTTTTTTAGCTGGACATGAAACACTGCTGGATTATTAGCTAGGGGATTAAATAAGTGAAACACCAAATAAAGAGCCTGGTGGAGTGTTTTGTTCCCGAGTACAGAACTACAAGTAAAAACATCCTGCAGTCATCACTGCCACTAAATGTCGCACTAGATCACCAGCATCTCAGACCAAAACAAATGCTTTCCTAGCCACACCTCCGGCCTCCGTTTGGTCTTTACATTCCCAGTCAGCAAGGTGTTTGGAAGCAAAGTTAAAGTGACCACTAAACACACAAGAAGAAGCTCAACTGAATAAAGTTACCCTGTGTACACAAGAGCCAACAAAAAACAATCTAACAACAACCATTAGCCCATGCCAGGGATGCTGTGATATGCCCCACAATAATGCACAGTTAGCCAGCTAACAAGCGCAACATTTGCTGAACACATTCAAAATTAGAGTAACAGCAAGTTAGCTATTGTTATCATGCTACTGTGGCTGGTCACTAAGCCAGACCAGTATTAGCTCAACAGTTGTACCTGGGAAGAAAATCAGCCTTGGACTTATCCACCAGGACCGGCTGCATGACATTGATGGAGCAGGTAAAAACTTTAAATACTTTTTGGATGTTTTGACATTCCACCAGCCAACTAGGATTTGAGCTGCAGTCTACCTGTGCCCTGGTCTGATCTCTTTCTGTATCTGAGGCCTCTTAGACGGAAAAGTGGTTTCTACCATTACCAGCTACCAAAACAAAGAACAGCGAAGCTCAGATCACAACACACACAGAGGAGGTGTGACTTTGTTCTCTGCTCAGGACGCCATTACTCCACTATATTATTGTTTAAAATCTCATTTACATAACCTTTAGCTACACATTTTGAAGGGGTCATGTGTGTTTTATGAAGGGAGAAGTTGTTAAAGGCAATTATTACTCTGATACTGGAGAGTTCACACATCGTTCCATGGTGATTAACCCCGTCACCGGCCATGTCGTCATTCCGGATAAACAGCCTAAAGGTTCCAACCGAACTGGAGATAACATTTTATTTAGATGTAACTGCCAGTGATGGTGGACTTGAAGCTATTTTGTCCACAATGTGTTGACAGTATTTCCACACTTGGCATACCATAATTACAATCTTAATGATATGATATGAACGCAGCATTAGTGGGAAATTCTCCATGACGACAGACTGTCATACTAATTGTCCTGGTCCTGGATTGTCATCCAATGGAACCTGCACATTTCACTCTCTAGGCATTTCTCAAAATTTGCTACAGAAGAAAAAATAAATTAAAAAATTGAAAATGTGCAATTGACACAACAAGATCCGCTCACCTGGATTTGGGGATTTTCTCCGTAGATCCTCTCAAACTCTGGGAAGAGTCCTGGTTGTTCCAAACTTCTTCCATTTGAGGAACCTGAGATAAATCTTAAGTATCATAACAGTGAGTCTGAAGACTTATGTCAATGTGATATTTCAGTTTTTCCTTTTTAATAAATTTGCAAAAATATCTAAAATTCTGTTTTCACTTTGTCATTATGGGGTATTGAGTGTAGATTAATGAGAGGAGACATGAATTTAAATGACTTTAGCATCAGGCTGCAACATAACAAAATGTAAAAAAAAAAAAAGGGAAGGGGTCTGAATACTTTCTGAATGCACTGTATCTTTTCCCTTTATGGAATCATGCTTTAATCCCTGCACTGAACCAGTTATTCCAATTGATTTCCCATGTGTTAATCCGGGCTAAGACTCTGCAAGAAACGCGTCTTTTCAGGACAGAAAATAGGTCAAGTGTCCAGACGTCATCTTGACCAGCCGCCGTATCCACACCTTCATTTGCATTTTTGACTTTTCATAATTACATGCCCAATTATCCCCTGCTTGGTGGCCTATTTTGCATGGCTGCCTCCAAATCGAGTGGAAGCAAAAGGGCTGATTGTCTTTTTTTTCCCAGAGTGGAGTATTTACATGTTTTAACTGCTGCCTGTTACACACTCCACAGTCTAGTTCATAAGATCTTTGACTACAGCCTAAATATGAAGGTCAGAGTTTAAATAGATGCAGTGATGGATGAAGTATTCAAATCTTTTACTCAAGAAGTGAAGGTCAAAATTCCTATATTTAAAATTAGACTTTTGTAGAGGTACATAACCATTATGTACCTGATGTACATTTATCTTTGTAGCATGGGTTTAGAAAAATGATTTATAAATGAACATTATTGTTATTATTATCATCAGGTAAGTAAGCAGCAGTTTAATGTAGCTGGTTGAGGTAAAACTAATGTTAGCTACTTACTGTTGGGTAGTTTATAGCACTGTATCAATACATCATGCTATATAAAGTTACGATGTATTTTGTATATCAAAGTACAGCAACAGCTGTTACATAATTAAAGTGGGGGAGGAAGAAGCAGAAATTAGCAGAAAATTGTCTTTACTGGAACTTATTTGTTCTGGGTAAATCTAAACAAGTAAAACTTAAAAATACCATCTGACTGACATGGTTGAAATTAGCCAGCTGAAAGGAGCAGGCCTTTCTTTCTCCTTTATAAGCTAAATGATTATTCAGTTAATCAAAGAGATAATAGAGGGATTGATCAAAATTGAAAAATAATCAAACCGGGTTATAATGCAACATCCACCTTCATGCCGTTCACTGCTCCAGCTTTCTGCTTCTGCAAGATTTTGTCCGTTAACAGGGAGGATCTGCAACACAATAAAATCTGAGAGTGAAGGTTTTGTAGGAACAGTTCAATAACTCAGATCATCCCAATACCATTCTGAAAAAAGGAATTCCTTCTTACTTGTAGTGGTACTGTAGTGGTGCTGTAGTGGTACTGCCTTGACACTAATACTGTGGAGCTGGATGAAAAAATGATACTTTATACATTTATAAAAAATTATAAAACAATAAATGAATGAACTGCGTTTGCATTGAAGAGAAAATAAAGCAACGATTATAAAATTAGCCAAACGTCAAAGATATTCACAAAGCGATTTTTTATTGAACCATTTTTACATTTTCATAAAGTAAAAATGCGCTATCAAAACAAGCTTTTACAAACAAACATGAGTTCTGTAATCATGAATTTGCTTAAATGTCAAATCAGACATTACAGACAAAACAAAAAATTAAACATAAAAATAAAAACCGTGTTCGTGTTGGAGGTTTAAATCAGTGAGTAAAATCAAATCAATACTCATTAATATTTTATGATATTAATATTCAACTTGACAAACATTAATGTGTTAGTGTTGATGGGATTTATAGTTTCACATGAATTTGTAAAACTTTGATTTAAATTCTCTCTTTTTTCAAGTCAAGTGTGTCATTCAGATCCAAACCTGCATATCTACCAAAATCTCAAACAACACACTGCAGTTAAAACCCTCTGGAGGCTAACATATAAACCAAATATCAGGAAAACATATTGATATATTATTTAAAAAAATATATCTCAGGTACAACATTAGGTTTTCTTTCTCCATTTAAAGTATGTAACAAACCGTTTATAAGGTGACCACACAAAACCCCCAAAAATAAAATAAATATTGCTCAGGTGGCAAACAATAAATACTCATCAGTCTGGGAAACTTAACGCAAATACAGAATTCACTCTTCAAAACAAATTCAAAACAAATCAAGACTTGTACTTCTGCGCTTAACATTAGCCAAGTGCTGCTGTTACTGATCATGTTTCAGTTACCGAATCGATCATGAGTTAATAAATAATATTCCAAAGATTTGTAGTGCTCGTATTTATTTTTGCGATAATATCCAATAAGATAATTTTAAATTCAATGTTTTCAATTTGGATTTTTCTAAACAATATTGTGATTGAAATTTAAATAGCTATTCTATATAAATTTACCCGCACAACTGTGGTCTATGTGGTATAAAACAAAATACATTTGTATTATGAAAATAAATCAGATAAAATAATGATACTTGTTGAGATCCCTGTGTTTTTTTTTTTACTGACTTATAAGTAAACTTCTAGAGGAATAGTGACCAATTTAGCTAATGAGATATAACATTAGCGGTAAACTTGACTTTAATATATTGAAATGTAATCATGGACGAAAGTGACGTTATGTGTAATGTTAACAGCTGCATACATCTGCTGGTAATGCTGACAAACTGCAGGTAGGTCACACCTGGCAAAGCACCTAAAACCTGTGGTTAATAAAACTAAAATGTAGTAAATGTTTAAATACTGCTTTTAAATGTTGAAATGGGGGACTAATAGTAAAGTATTACCATGTCGTGACATCAATGACACTGTTAGCTGCTCTCCACTTTTGTTGGTGAGGTAACATTAGCTTCAGTGAAACCATCATTAGCTTAACAGGCTCACAGGAGAAGCTAACATTAGCTTCATAAAATGACATGACAAAACAATGTCAATTCTGAATCCTGGAGGTCGTGAGTCAGAGTATTTAAGGTTAAAAACATAAACAGAAAAATGATGTACATAAAAAGTTTAACAGATTTTGACTACTCTACTTTCGACCAACTGTCTGTCAGTTACTAGCTAGCTCCAGTAGTAACTAGCTAGCAGCTAGCTAGCACTAACATTAGCTTTAACAGTCAAAGACTCATCGCTGCTTCACTATCTTTTCAACTGCCATAACGCCCTTATGTTTACAGTTTTAATTGTATTTATTTATTCATTTCTTCTTCTTTTTTTTCTGTAGAAAAAGGAGACAAACCTTGTGTCTTTAAAATGTGCAGTGTTGTTTTAGATAGAATCCCTATAGAGGTTAGAGTCGCAAATTTTCTGATCTTTGTTATGTTATGTAAACAATCTCAAAATAACGAGATAATTAAGTGGTGGCCAATAGATACTGATTTCATACTTTCATACTAATTTGTAGTATTATCATATATTTTTGAAGTAATTTGGGAGGTAATTAAATTCCATACATGTTGTTTAAGCAACACAAATTATTTACCAGCAAAAAATAAAATAATACTCATGATCTTGAACAAACCAGCTGAAAATAATCACTAGCAGTTGCTCTCGGCTTCGTTAGACTTCACACTGAACGGTACATAATGTGATATTATATAGTGGGTGAGAACTGTTAACATGTTTTTGTAGAAACACTGTCTGTAACTAAGGCGATGTCTTGCTTGCAGATGCTGTTTAAGCTAACAGGGAATAAGGACAGTTAAAACATGGAAAGGTTTAACAGCTTTGTTGATTCCTAATAGACTGACGTAGACTCAACATTCCCCCTGTGGGAAAGCTTCACTTTTTATCTTGTTTTTAATAGGTGATAGTCTCTGGGAAATGTAGTCTCAATCTCAGTCAGACCTTGTTTCTACAGTAGTTTTGCTGGTATAATGAGAGATGTTTGTGCTTTTTTAATGCTTTAAATTTCTAATGCCTAAAATAGTGTTTGATCTGTCGACCTTTTACACATCTTCACAGAAGAAATTTTCTCTGTAACAGTCAACGCCGGTGAAAAAGTGATTTCAGCTTGGCACAGATGCAAATTCAGCCAAACTAAGGATGCTCATATTAAACTGATCTCTGAACTTATAACTGATTATCATCACCAGCTGCCTTTTCAGCTTTTTGACCTAACAAACGGGGTTTTAAAGCATCATCAAATAGTCCAAGTTTCATTTAAACACTAAAAATAACTTTGCTTATCAGCAGCAAATTGGTGAAAAGGCAGCTAATAGCGTGTGGATTCTGTACATTATCTCTGGAGGTGTTGGATAGGATTATCGGCTCTACTCCTCCAGGGTGCTTTTGGACATGAAGTGCAGTCCTTCCTCCTTCAGTCGGACCAGCGCCGGCCCATAGATCTCCTTTGTCATTGGAACCACCAGACCCTTCGTATTGATTTCACCTGCAGAGAACAAACGCACAGCTTCAGCTCAGTAACATTATCTCACGTATTCAACATTATATCTGCTGTTCGGTGGACAAACTGGTCAGAAAATCATCTAACACCTTTTTCTACTTTCAGACAGCCACTTGCTTCAGTTCATTTTAGAACATATAGAAGGTTACACATCAGTGAACACAGCCTGAAAGGACAACCTAACGTTAGCTTTACAGGCTAACAGAACAAACTAACGTTAGCTTCAAGGACTCACCGGACAAGCTAATGTTAGCTTCACAGACTGACAGGATAAACTAACGTTAGCTTGTCCTGTCAGTCTGTGAAGCTAATGTTAGCTTGTCCTGTCAGTCTGTGAAGCTAACGTTAGCTGATTGAATTGAACTGAATTTTTCCATGTGTCATAAATGGCAGTTTTTTCAGCATAGTTGCCTGACTATAATGTGACTGCATCCCGTGTCTGTCCAATGACAAGACAGCCAGAGTTGAAAAGAGGGTATGCTAATGATGCTAATTGTTTGTTTCATTTTATTTTTTTAACCAGCTGCTTATTACTTCAATTTGACTGGCTGTCATCATCAGTTCAAAAATCTTCCTGAGTGATGTTACTGACCATCAAGGACCATGCGAGCAGCAATGGCTGCTGGGTATCCTACAGTCTTGGCCATGGCAGAGAAACCGCTGGGGTCGCCGTACACTACCAGGCTGATGTGTTTGGTCTCCAGCTCGCCCGTCGGGTGGCGAAGCCCCACGTCGTTCCTCATGACGATCATGTCTCGCTCGCCCTTATCTGACCGAGGGAGAGAAATCATTATCAGGGTTTGTGCAGCGTTCAACCTTTTTAATACTAGACATAACACAACACATTTGATATGTTTCACATTAATAATACCTGTTTCATATGAAAAATATCAATGAAAATCAGTATGAATGATATGGACTAGAACTGTTTACCACGTAAATGGATTTACTGACATTTAAATCACATTCTTGTCTGTACTTCCCAGCAGTATATAACAATTAGAGTTGAAACAATTACATGATTAATCGATTTGCCAATCAACAGAAAATAAGCTGTCAACTGTTTGATGATCACTTAAAAGTCTGTCATTTGATGGTTGGACAAAATAAGATATTTAATTACATTAAGTTGGACTTTAGAAAATTGTGGCAGGTATTTTTTTTGTTTTCTACCAAACGATAGTAAGATATAAGTAATCTTTACTTGCAACCCCAAAAATCATTTCTAATTAAATATGTCTCAAACAAAGAGTTGCAAAATAATAAAGACAGAAGATAAAAGAAGGAGAATCTATAAATGCAATTAATAAATAATGTAACAAAAAATCAATTAAAGCAGGTACAAACAGAAGTTAAGAGGTTAGAGATTATGGATTTAGAGGGAGAGCAGGAAGTGGATGGATGGATAAACCCATTACAATATGATCCATTCATTTCAGGTCCAACCTTTAGTTTTACATGATTTTCTTCAGGTCAATGGTACTCTAGACATTTTTTAACAAACAAACAAAAACATTTTATAACCAATACTGCAAGAAAATACATTTAAAACCCTTTAAAATTAAATTCAAGAATTTGTAATACTGTCTAATGGCTTTTTTGAGGAAACTGAAATCAATGCTTTTTATGACTTTCCAAGCCCTGCAGACCCCCCCCCCCGATCATATTTTATTCTCATGTTCTTCTGATTCGTGGTAATAAAATGAGTTTGTTTCTCACCAAATGACAGTTTGGCTTCCAAATGTTTTGCCAGAGCAGCCAGAACGCTGTCGGCGTGAGGCACCGCCTCGTCGCTCAGCATCCCAAACCTGAACACAGAGACACACACACACAAAAAAAAAAAAAACAAGACTTTTCCTCACAATAAAATAACCTTCACAAAGCCGTATTAAAAGCTTTAAAAGAAAATTACTCTGCTTCAACGCCCCAGCAGCGCTGCAGCCCACAGCCCACACATCCTTGGCTAAATCTAAAGAGATGAGCAGTTGCTTTTGTCGCTGCTTTGCTGGTGAATTGAATAAATGAACAACAAGTCATTCAATTTGAGCTGTGAGCGCGTTGGCTTTTTACCCTTTTAAAGGCAGAGATGGAATGTTTCCAACAGTTCAACGCCGGAGGAATTTACGTTTCAATGCTAGCGTGGCCCTCTTCCCTTCACCGCCAGCGGCAGCACAACAATGACGGCACAGAGCCTTGGTCTGAAGACACCCTTGGAAAAAGCTGATTTAAATTGAGGAGTGTGCACACTACACCACTTAAGGCCCGCTCAATGAGGAGAGAAGTGAAAAGTGTGGAGAGGAGGAGCAGCCTCGGCCTTGCTCTCAGCCCGCCATCCACAGCGCTGATGCCAACTTTGAAGAGCGGCAGACATCACATCTGCCTCGCCCGCTCAGAGCCGAGCTGCACAGACAAATGGACATCCAGATAACTAGTCGTAAGAATCGGACTGTTTTTTAAGAGCAGATAACCAGCTGTTCAACAGAGAGTGGTGTAGGCAACACGAAGCTAAAAACTGAGTTTAAACTAGAACCTGAAACTTTTTGGCATCTGTTTAATCATGTCATAGAAATGATGCCTGTAATTCTAGTGTGTGTAAAATCTGCAATAACTTCAAAACTGGGCAGCAAAATCCAACTAATCTCTGGGACTATATCGAGTTAAATTACTGATTTTTCCCTGCGTGTTATCTGTGATGTAAAACCATCTTTTTCAGGACCAACATCTTCACTAAACTATCTTTAAATCACATATATGAATGTATTAAAATGGAGATTAATATTATGTTGGTTCCAATATAAATATTGGACTGAAAATAATCAAAATAAACTTTATTTTCTTCGCTGAAAGAACTTGTTTTGTTTGTAGATGTATTTTCCTCAGAGTACAGAGGCAGGTCTGATACTCTCCAGATGTTACCCTGATGTCCCAGATGTTTGACAGACCGGTGAGAAGCCTGACAGCCATCTTTGGTCTCTCACCATCTCAGCGTGTCCATCCTGAAGTCGTCCTTTCCGATGCGCTCGTATACGGCTTCTTCAAAGGCATCATGGGACATAGACGAGGACAATCCCATCTGCTTACAGAGGAGATCTTTCTGTAGAGACGAGAGAACAGATCACAGTTGCTCCAGACTTCTAAGACCATCACACATCCAACCTTTAAACCTCCTAGTTTGTCTCCTTAAACTCCTCGTTATGGCTCTTGGTATGTCTCCTAGCTCCTCTTACCTTCATCTCCTGACTGCCCTCTTTTTCTAAATGGAGATTAGACACTTTCAGAAATGGCTACATGAACCTTTTAAGGGGCTTCAAGGTTAAATTTTGCAGGTGGGCCACTATTTATACATTTCTCTTTGTTGCGCGTTTTTCAGAAAGACGAGTGGCAGGATTAAAAATTGCTTCTTGTCTTTTGATTTCTAAACACGCAGCTCTGTTCTGTTTCTCTTTCATCTCAAAAGGATAAAAGACGACAAACGTTATCCTGCTGTAAACGCTCATCAATGTCAGAAAGCCTCGGCTCGCCGCAGCCTTGATGTTGACAAGCAGCTATTAACAGTAATAGACTCGTCAGCAAAACCCACTTCCACGGTCGGACGCTTCAAGTGGAAGATCTGCAGAAACAGCTCATTTTATAAACGTGAATGCCGGGCTGGAGGATGAAGTGGGAGGCACAGCTCAGCCGCCTTTCAGCCGTGTGTTTCACTGTTTTCATGATCCCCTTTTTAAACGCTGAAAGGAGGTTCTTACCCAGGAGACGGGAGATGAAGTGGGCTGCAGGACGGGGCAAGGCTCGCTGTCAATCAGACCCAGTTTGACAAAACCACTCATGGCCTTGGAGAAGCCCTGCGGGACAGAACGAGAGCTCGACTCAATCAACGACACAAACAAACATTTATCCATATATATAATATATATTTCTGTGAACTGCTGAGAAGAAGAAAATCTTTTATTTTGAGTCTTTTAGTTTCAGTTTGATTTTGGACTCACAGGGGACGCAGTGATTAACAACCTGGTTTGAAAGCCTTGATGTTATGCTCATAACCACAACATATCTATTACATATTAACATATTTATTGTACTTGTTTGTTTTCAGATCTATTTGTTATTTATTTATACACAGACCTGTAAACTCAGGGGACGAGGACACAGTTAAGATCTGGGGATCATAAGACCTCACAAGAACATTTAAAGGATTTAAAAACATTTCATGCAAGAGGTAAAATTCAGTTGTTTGGCTGACTGTTTTCTGAGTGATCCAATAAAAATAAAGCAGATTTCAGGTTAAAAACACTCAGAGAAACCAAATCCTGCAAGGTTTGGATGGTGGGTCCAGGTGGGCGGGGCTTGGTGACTGCTTTGTTGTGACATCACAAAGTTCCAGAAGTCCTGACGGCTGGTTTTAAGGCTCAGTTTCTGAATACAGGCTGTGTGCATTTCTCTGTGGACTGAGGCTTTGATACTTTCACAGTATTAATATAGAACTTAGACCTGATCTATAATCACACTACACATGGACACACACCTTTACACTGGAGGAGCTTTAAGTGATTTCCATTTTAATCCTTGAACTGTAATGAAAACCAAAACATGGTTGTGTATGTATGCATGTATGTATATATATTTGCTGCATTTATTTTTCTTCATTTCAAATCAGGAGAGAAATTAAGATGTTGCTTCTTTCTCGATTTGACATTCGACAGAAATGAGTTTCTATATCTCAATAATGACGTGTTGCTGCTTTTCATAAAACTGTAAACAGAATATCTTTTAAGACGTCAACCTGGGCTCTGGGAACCTGTGAGGGACATTTTTCACAAATGTCTGACATTTTACAGACAAAATGAAAAACTGCTTAATCACAGATTAAGTCGACAACAAACAGGTTACTGGAGTAAAGCTGAGACTTCTCACAATGAAATGACACCAACGTTAGAAGTCGGTGGCAGTTTCCAGCTGCTGACAGCTTTTAGCGGACGTGTGGTGTGTGTGTGTGTGTGTGTGTGTGTGTGTGTGTCCGTTGTACCTTGAAGCGCAGTGTTCCTCTGATCAGTGTGTGTGCGCTCTGGATGCCGTACGGCTCGGCGTATTTGGTGCTGTCGCGGTTGGGAAATCCCTCCAGGCTGAAACCGGGCAGGAAGTCCATCGGCGTGGAGGAGTCCATCAGAGAGCCGCCGGCCGGGATGCTCACCACCTGGAGAAGACACAAACACAAAGATTCAGTTTCTTTCTGACGGATTGAAGACAGTGTCATTCATGAACAAACTCACACGATCATCATTGATCGACGGCCCTTTGAGGCCTCTGTACCTGGTCGTCTTTGAGGAAGATGGCGGGGCTGATGGTGTTGAGGAGGACGCCGTACGGACTCCAGCTGAACTTGTAGCGAAGAGGATTGTCCGAACATTCAGGAGAAGGAAGACCTCCGCAGAACGAGCTGTAGGACTCCACCTGAACAACGCCGGAAGGAATTAATATTCAATTATTCAATTTTTCTGTCAAGCAACTTGATATGAGTTCGTTTTAACAGAGGTCAGAGTCACTGCATGATTTTAAAGTTTAAATGTTGTTTGGTGATTAATTTAAAACAGATTTAAGATAAATATCATCATTAGGGGACGATCAATACACCAACATCTGAAAGACAGAGTCAAACCAGAGCTGTGATCACTCTTACCTCAGTATGCAGCAAAATGTATTCGTCTTTTTATTTGTATGTTATATTTGTAGTTGTGTGTTTTTGCTTTACGTTACCTAGCAACCTTACCTGACTGTGGATGTAAATTAGCATTTTAGCATTTTAGCTAAAATCCGACATGTTACCATCTTGTATTTTGTGCTGACTTTCATTAACATGTATTGTCCTTATCAAATAAAGAAATATAAAATTGACAAACAAAGAAATGAAGTCCAATCTTAACGAATCTGCAGATATTTAGTATTTCATATACACTCGGTGCTTGAACATTTTTGTTCAAATTTTCAATGTTTCTTCAGCAGTGGTGATGGGGATATGTAGTGAGAGGGACATTTCAAAGTGTAAAAAAATGTTCTCTGGCAAGAAAAACAATGTTCAGTTGTAAAGACAAATTCCATATTTTGTTGATTCTTGAAGTGAAAAGAAATAAATCAAACACCCGAGTAAAAACAGATATGAAAACACGAGTGTTAAAAATGTTGAAATACCATAGAAAAGTTTTTATGCTTGGCTGAGGTGTAAATTAAAAATTAAACTGCAATGGAAACAGACTTGGTGAATAAATGCCGATGTACAGGAAGTTAACGTAAACGACAAACATCAGCTGTTAATGTGTCATGAGTCAAAGTCTCAGGACAGATTTCCGCTGAATCCTCTCAGGCTTCATTTATAACACTAATCAATAATCAAAACCATCGACTTGTGCTTGACCCGGGTCCGTCAGAACCAGAACTAAATCAAGTCCTTGTTGCTTTAGAGAAACAGGTTGAAATATTCTCAGGCTGTTTTCTAACACACACCACGTCACCTGGACTCATGTTCAGTCTGTGTCACGGTTCAATACGACTCTGCCTACATGTGTTCAAACAATCATTATCACACACACACACGCACACACACACACAGGGTCAGAGTGTGTGTGTTGACTCACAGTGCAGCCGTCGGCTTTAGCCTGGTCGATACACTCCATCGCCAGCATGTGGTCGATACCTGGGTCCAGGCCCATCTCATTCACTATGGTGATGCCCGCCTCCTCCGCACTGAGACACACACACACACACACACACACACACACACACACACACAGATATTACATGAAACCTGCAGCAACAGTAAAACATTTCTTGTTCTTTTTTCTAAATTACAACTGAATACATGTTATAACTGTTCCCTGTTGTTATTACTAATTTGAATTATGGACAAAAGTATGAAATTAATTAATTAATTTTGTAGTAAATGGCGACGAAATCTTAGGAACTCCTGTTTTCTCGTCGTCACCTGCTCTGCAGCTCCTTCATGGCCGGACTCAGGTAGCTGGCTGTCACCATGTTCACCTTCCTCTTGATGCAGTGTTTGGCGATGAGCGGGTGGAAGGAGTACGGCAGCATGCTGAGGAGCAGAGGGAGAGGATCGGGTCAGGACGGACGGACGGATGGACGGACGGAGTTCACATCGAGAGGACTGATCAAAGCTGAGCCTGACAAACTGAGTCTGACATGTCCACAATGCGTCATCCCTCCAATGAACATAACAGCTTCTCAGGGGCTGATAATAAAATAACAGCATTAATTAACTGCCATGAAGAAATAAAAAAGCACTTCCTGGGTTGATCAAGATAAAATTTGCTTAACAACTTCTGCAACTTCTAATTCCCTGGAATCTTTCCTCTTCACTTCCTACATATTAACTGGTATCCAGCTGTAAATTACCTGATTATTTCAATGAAGGGAGTTAAAAAAAAATGATTATGTTGTAATATAAATTATGTTGTAGGTATGTGAAAAACAGTTTTACCAAAAATGTATATGTGGCTGTTTTTGGACATAGAGTAATTTACAGTTACATAGCAGCTCATTTTCAGAAAATTATGAGGGAAAAATATGGAACCTGTAAAATAAAACCTTATTTATGTAAACTCTTGCTTTTATTGGTTGTTAAGGTTCAGCAGATCACCTGTCCTTGTTTTTTTTGCTGACCCAAACAGTCACAAAATGTAGCGAATGAAGCTTAAAAACTAGAAGTTGATTAGAAGCCCGATAAAGTAAACACACCTTTCTTCGGGCTCCGCCTACTTTTGGGGGCGGGGCCAAAAAAGAAAAAAGAAAAACACTGCCTGAAAAATGAACAGAATTTTTCATTAAGAGGAGACTTTTTTCTGTAACACAGCGTGACTTGCAGCTGTACCTGATGACCAAGTCATGGTCTTTGATCAGGGAGTCGAGGTGTCCTTCCTGGCTGCTGGCGTCCAGCGTGACGGGGATGGTGTTGGGATATTTGGCCGCCAACTCCTCCGCCTGCCTCAGCAGCACTGACGCTGAACACAGACACAAAACACAACAGGAAAATAATGTCACTGGAAGAAAACTCAACTGCAAGAAATCTGGCGTCCTGGGTCGAACTAAAACCTTAAAAACACTCAAATGTCACTCATGAGTTCGTAAGTCGAACTCACCCACAGTGACCTGGGTCCTCTCATCGCGGGTCAGATATTCCACAACGGGTCCGGAGACGTATCCCGAGCCCAGCAGCAGGACTCGCTTCATCCCGCTCTTCTTCATGATCTCAGCCTTCTCCCTGAACAACATCAGACACACTGAGTTTAGAAACACGAACATCAGTGAGGCTCAGTGTGTTTCCATCCACGTGTCTGGAGGCCGGGATGTTGAATCCTGAGCCACAGATGGAAGCAACACAGAGGAAGTCGTTGAGATGTTCATGAAACAGATGCATTTAAATGGATGGTGTAACGTACTTAAGATTAAACATCTGTAGGTGTTGGGGTACAATCTGCTTTATAACTGACACTATGTCTCTGTTCTGTGACACTATTCAAAATGTTACTGAACAAGAGAAAAAGTTTGTATCCGTTAAAATATCTCTTGAATATAGAGGAGATTGTACAAGAATTATGTACAGGATGGAAAACAGACAGGTTATTTACATGGAGGTCATGCTGAAATTAAAAAATAAAAAAACACATTAAAAAAAAAAAATCAATTAACCAATTAAATTAAGAAATTTTAAAAATACAAATCTGTGGATTTTTGCAGATTTCCGGAATTTTTCTTTTGTTATTGCACTTACAAAATAAACGCACGTGTAAAATGAATGTCTGAAAACCACACATGCCTGCGTGTTACTGTATCTTTTAAGACGATGTTTCAAATGTTATATTAAATGTCAAACAGCTGGTTTCACATTTTCACATGAGTGAAACAGCTGAAAATCACATTTTACTGGATTTGAATTTTTCCATGTGTAACAGTTTTTCATGTGAAATATAATTAATATCGAATGTTACTAACTTGTTAAATATTCAACAGTTTGTAATAATTAATGTTAAAGTTTACAATAAATATAGAGCAGTAGTACAATTAATTCATACACATTCATACATTTTAATGATTTAAAATCCTGGTAACCTTAAAGTAATACTAAAATAATAAATACCTGTAGCATTAATTCTATCAGTACCTTGATTCAACAAATAGTTTTTTCTACATCTACATTTTTTTAGGTAATCGGGGCCATGGCCAACATTCGTAACAACTTTATTTCTATTATAAATTTCTAACAGCTTATGGAAAGTTTTTTTAAGTAAAGAAAGAATGTTTAAAATGTGAATTCACTTTCAGTTTACAGTCTCACTTTCTTTAACAGTACGCTGTTAAAGACATGGTTTATATCCAGTGTTCAGAGAGTGCTGATGTTCAGTCCAAAGCCCTGGTCACATATGTAACCCACAGTATGAGAGCCGCGTGTCTGCACCACAGCAGCTCTCAGAGCCTCTTAATTAAACTGATGTCTTCTCTAAACAAATTGATTCAGTTAAAAAGTGTGATTTTGCATGCTGGATTATCTTAACACCATAACAACAATAACACTATAATAGAGGCATCACTCCAAGTGACCTGTGGCATTAATATCCCACCACCACCCGCCTCAAATCCCCCAGGAGTCAGACCCCTGGACTCGTTAGCTTTGGCTTAATTGGATGCGACACCGCACACATGCACGAGTCACAGCGGGACTGACCGGCGGTCCGCCCCGCCGCCGCGCCTCGTCTTCTTAATTAAAAAAAAAAGAAAAGAAAAGAGAGACGTTCCCTTGGGAGGATTTCTCCCCGAGTTTACATATCTTAAGGAGCCCGGCTCAGTCAAAAGGATTAAGATTTGGTGGCATGGCTTGTCTGGAAAAATGATACTTGGGATCAATTAGGAAGAAAACTCATCAAGCCTTAGTGTGGCCTAAATATGATACGAGGCTCCACTCGGCTGTTTAAAGAGCTGCTGAGGAGCAAAGCTGCACTGAGCCCCGGTGTTAATAATCTACAGAAACAAACATTATTACTGTTACAGCAGCTGAATATATTTGAGAAGCTCATTAAAATGTCTGACGCTGCAGATAAACTCAGAGAAATGTGAAAATGAAATGAAATGAAAAGAAATGTGTAATCAATCAACAGAATTTAGAAATGAATCAAAGCAGGTTTAAAAGATAAAACTTAATGAACAGAACGACGGAGGACTTTTGATAAATGATAAACATGCAGACGAATGATTTTTATTTTAGAGGAGTCAGAGGAGAAGATTGAATTCATCTCTTTGAGTCCAGGACAGAGGGAGGTCCAGGGCGTGAAAACCCAAACCAAAAACATCTACGTCAAGTTAGCTAACATTAGCTTGAGTGCTAACATCATGTAGATTACACATTAGCTAGAGGAACAACTTTAAAGATCTACAGTCACAAACACTTGGGAGATTTGCCAAAACTAGCTTTCTTTATCATGTTACATGAATGTCATACACAGCGTATATGGCCTTTTTAGAGAGGCTAGCAGCCCCCCCCCCCATTTCCAGTCTTTGTGCTAAGCTAAGCTAAGCTAATCACATCTTGGACCTAAGCCCAGAACGGGACACACAGAAATATTCATCCTCTCATCTGACTCGTGTGAAGAAAAGCTACCAAGATTTCACAAACTGTCCAAACTTAAAAATCACATGCCAGAATGAGATGAACAAGACAGACTGATGGCGACAGCCGGGGTGATGGCGTTTTTTTTTTGTGTAAATTAAGAAGAAAAAATGTTTCTACCCCTCAATACCTAAAGGCAAACTCCAGCGTCTGAGGTTGGCTAGCAGCAGCAGCTTACTAGCACGCTAGCCATGCAAGGTGTTAATGCAGAGGCAGGTTGGCACAGCAGACACCAGAGGGCAGCACTGTGCAGGAACAACCACAAGGTGATGGTTAGTCGCTACGAGTCCAGCTTTCAGTTCTGCTCGCTGGAGGACACTAAAACATCACAAACTGCTAGGATTAAACAGTAAGGGAGGGAAAACAGCAAGAACATGAGACTATAGAGCACAAATATTACTAAACCTTTAAAAAAGGAGCTATTTCTAAGTTTTGCTATTGCTACATAGTTAACGGTAGCATTAGCAGCTGTTTACTTACCAGTCAAGAGCTTCAGACATTGCTGCATTTACAATTCAAGAGGTTATAATGTGCCCTCTGAGAAGTGCTACTTCTTCAGGGCAGACTGGACGCTACAGTGACTCGGTATCGCAGAGTTACAAGACAGGCTAGCTAATTAGCTTGCTAACTTCAGTAGGAGAAGTTATAGAAAGCTAAACAAGGGTTGTTTTCCAACTCTGGAGACTCACTATCGCACAATAGCATTACATGATGGGACGGGCTGGAGCTAGTTAGCTAGCATGCTAACTTCAGTAGAGGAAAAGAGGTGATATAAACAGAAACTAACAAGAGGGTTGTTTTCCACTTCTGGAGACTCACTATCGCAGAATAGCATTGCGTGACAGGCTGGAGCTAGCTAGTTAGCATGCTAACTTCAGTAGGAGAAGTTATAGGAAGAGAAGCTAAACGAGGGTTGTTTTCCAACTCTGGAGACTCACTATCGCACAATAGCATTACATGATGGGACAGGCTGGAGCAAGGTGGTTAGCATGCTAATTCAGTAGAAGAAAATAAGTTTCTTCTAGACTGGTGAGTAAACAGCTGCTAATGCTAACGTTTGCTATGGGGTAATAGCAAACTTACAAATAGCTCCTTTAATAAGCTGCTATCAACTGTAAATCACACAAACACTACAGTTTCGAAAGCTAACAAAGGTTAGCTATAGTAGCACATGAGAAACAATGAGAGTTTAAATGTTACCTGTCTCGTAATCTTTAGACATGTCATCCATTGACTGGTTGCATTAACTCGCAGATGGAACAGGTGTGTGCCAATGTAATTTTTTTTTACATGTATAATATAATATAAAATAAAAGGTATGCTTTCAACAAAGTCCCAAACACAGAACACAACGGATAACGTGCCGTATAACACACACACAGGACTCTGAAATAAGTCTTACCTTCTTTCTCGAAGTTTTTCGATGTATTCAAACTTTGGGGTGAGAACTCCGTTTGAAGTGATGACAGCCTTTAGAAACAAAGGTGATAACAAACAAATATTTATTTTTTTATTTTAAAATTGTTTGCACAGGAGTACAATTAATATTGTCAAATTAATAAAGATTGTAAATAATAATAAATAATAATGCTGAAAGAATCAAACACTGAATGAATGTCAAATGTTTGCCGTTTTATTCTTAATTAGGTCTTCAATAGCCTTTAATCAAATCTACTTATCTAATCTGAATCCTTTTGAATCCCTCATTGGACCTCGTTAAGTTTAGATTTCATCATTTAATTAACTAAAGTTATTAAAAAAAAAAACAAAACTGAAAGATTCAGTTGCGATCAGTTTTCAGTGGTAGACACTAAATGAATCAGCACTCACATTAATGAAGCTATTTTAATTAATACTGACAATCTGTAGCGTCAACCTGAAAACGAGCGGAGCAGCAGAAGATCTTAAATATTGATTATTTACTGAGATTGACAACATTCACAACATTTTGTGCTTCAGATGTTTTGATGCATAAAAGTGGGACTGTCGACTCTGATGAGCTACGGCTCACACATGTTAAAGAGTCATGTACATTAACCAGCAGACCAAAGTTTCCCTGGACATGTTGCACAATACACTCAGCAGCTGGAGGCTGAAGATCTTAAATGAATTCACTGTTCATTTCTGGGTTCATCTGAATGAATTCAGAGACGATGGCGGCGTTTTGTTCACAACGGCAACAACCAAGTGTTTTGAATTCGCTTCAGCTCTGATTCTCTCCCAGCTTCTTCTACACAGAAACAGCAGCCAAGGCTCATGGGTATTGTAGTATTTAGAGCTTTCATGCCAAACTGACAAAACATGACTTCTCAAAAAAAAAAAAAATTCTTGGCTAAATTAGAAAACGAAGTTGTGATGTTGAGAGAGCAGATCTCATGTTTTTGTAGCAAACCAATACGACGTAACTTACGTCTCTGACTTGCGGGCTGAAGTCCTCTTCCTCCAGGGGTCTGGTGGCGTCTGACGGCAGCTGATGATGACAGAACACAGAACTTACATAACAAGAAACTGGATAAAAGCACCTGTCCCTTTGTGTCGGAGTTCACCGCGTGAAACCCGGTGCAGCGCTCCCCCCGACAGCAAACTCCCCCTGACAGCAAACTCCCCCGACAGCAAACTCCCCCGACAGCAAACTCCCCCCGACGTCAGGCAGGGAAACCGAAAGCAGCTGAGAGCGAGAGAGAAACCCGACGACACCACCAGCTGTTCTCCACTCACCTACCGCCCACATGTCTTACCATCTCCCAGATGTAGGGGAAGAGTCGGTCTCCGAAGTACTCCGTGGCCTCGATGGGGAGCTGAGCGGGAAGATTGTCGATGGAGCACATGAGGATCCCGATTCCCTCCACGCTGCCGGGAACAGAAACAACAAATAAAAATAAATGAGATCAATTTCAGTCTTTATCTGAACTAATGAACACAGAGCCAGAGAGACGTGGCGCGGGGGAAGAGACGCGGGTCATGAGCGTGTGGGACTCACATGTCGTGGTCAATGTGCTGGTCGGCGTCGTACATACAGAAAGGCTTATCGATGGTGGTGCACTCGTTCATGAACTCTATAGAGCCGCCGGTGTCGGCTGATATGTCGCAGATGGCGAGCAGCCTGCAGAGAGCGAGAGAGAGAGAGCGAGAGAGAGAGAGCGAGAGAGAGAGAGAGAGAGAGAGAGAGAGAGAGAGAGAGAGAGAGAGGTGTTGGTGAGGTCAGAGCGACAGGCTGAACTGTCCCTCTGATCACACAGCTGAAGATAACCATGTGACCTTCGACCTCTGTGGAGATACGGCAGCGACCTTGGTTGCACTTTTACCCCAGTCACCGTCAGTGTGTGAGGCACATCGCTCCGTCACCTCCAGCGCTCATTACACACCGGAAAACACGACTGACCGCTCACTGAGCACTTTATTAGGAACACCACACCGACACTGGGAGAGTGTGGTGAACAGCTCACGCTCTTACTTGTGCGGCAGCTGCGGCGACCCGCCGCTGGCTACAGACAGGGTTTTGGGAGGTCTCATCAGCCTCTGGGCGTCCATTCGCCTGAGGAGTCGAGGGGTGTGGGGATCCCAGTAGATGCCGTTGATCAGGCAGGTTGTGTACGGCGCCACCTGCGGGTCAGAAAGAGATGACACAACATTTCTACGTTGACCACGTCCTCAGAGAGCGAGACGTGAGAGCGAGGATCAGAGATGAACAACTTATTTCCCTGTAAATAAAAATGAATTTAACATTTAGACTCCGAACATTTTAAAGAACAAATGATTCATGAAAACAATAATCTGTCTTGTTGTGTGAACTGTTATTGATGAGGCAGATTAGTGCTTTAAGCCGGACTCTGTGGCATCAACACAACCTCACCAACCAGCACGTGTTCGATCCCGCTGACTGACACCAGAGGACAAGGCCCCTGACGGACTGACAGCGGCAGGTGGGAGCGAGGACGAGGGGGTGTTGTAACAGGGGTTAGTGTGGGGGTGGGTGTAGTGGGGGGGTGGGGTGGGGGTTGTGTGACAGAAGCCAGCGGACTCACGCTGGTCCTGAAGTGGGAGGTGTACAGCTCCGGGTGGATCTCGTACTCCATGGGGTCGTAGATGCCGTCGCTCTTCCTCATCAGATGATGGTGTCGGCTCAGAACGGTGGCGTAAACTTTGGTCATGTCTGACGGGAAAACAATAAACAACAACAACAACAGACGGAGGAGGATGATGATGGAGGCATGGACGTAGCTGTTCACATAAATTACAAAAACAACAAGGTAAATAAAGGATCCACTTAAGGTCTAAATCACACACAATGACAACGACTAAAGATAGACCCAGATACATTATGTGATAAATTAACACTGTACAGTGACAGTATTACACTTTAATAGTCAGGAGGAAATATAAAGAGCTGCACAAACTTTGACAGATTAAATTAAATCGAGGACACAGTAGATGTGCACACTGTCCTCCCTGTCCCTGAGTGCTGTCTGATCCATGTTGGCACATTAATAAACAGCATAAACAACTTTTTCTTTTTCTTTTCTTCCCAACCATCTTTTTGCTCTTCACTATGAAGTTTCCTGCTTTGAAACGTGGTAAACGTCAGACAGACAGACAGACAGACAGACAGACAGACAGACCTCCAGTCTCAGAGACTTCCTTCAGTTCGTGAGGTTCAACGTATTCAACAGGAAGCTCGTTGATGATGTCCTGGGCTCCCTGCAGGGAAGAAAAAGACTCTGGAGCCGCTGGGTTGTGTTCGTTTGTTTTTTTTGGTTTAATTTAATTTAATGAATTACCTTGGAGACGTTGCCGGTTCCGGTGAAACAGAACGTGACGGGGCCGATGGATTTGGGCATGAGGCCCATGGAAATCTCGTACCCACAATCCCTCACTGCCTGGATGGCCTGGCTGACGTTCCTGTAGTTGTGAGCCATGCCGATGTGCTGGGAGACAGAAAGAGACGGGAATCACACGAGGAAGCAGGAAGCTTAAGGTCAGATTTAAGGCCAAAATAAAAGACGTTAAGGACAAAGTTGTTTTTGTGTGTTTGGATCAAAGGAATGAAGAATGAGTCTCTCACCATGAAGGGAGTGTGGTGGCCGAGAGCCAGGAAGCGCAGCCCCAGTCCGTGCAAGATGTTGATCATTCCTTCAAACGAATAAAAAATAAAAAGGAAGATTCATTCTGATTAAACACAACTTGAAATATTCCCCAGTTAATAGGCAAAAAATAAGTTGGTACATATCTGAAAACTCTGACAAATATTCACAAAATGTTGGAAAAATATAAATATTCATACAATTTCCAAAAAATGTTGTAAAATCTCTGAAAAAATATGAATAAAATCTCAAAATTAATTAAGTAAATCCCCACAAAATTTTAATTGAATTTCTGAAAAAAATTCTTAATAAACGTCAGAAAAAATATGAATCATTAATAAGAAAATATTAATTAATAAACAATGTCAGTGTGTGTGTGTGTGTGTGTCGACTTTCCACTGTTTTTCTATTGTATTCAAATGCATCTACTGTGTTCTGCTGCTTCTGCACCTGCAGCAACACGACCACAGGAGTTGTGGCTCTTTAACGTTGCACAGAGAAGATTGAAGCAACACAGACGAAATGTTTTTGGGAACTTTCTGTTTGCGTGGAGTTTTTCCTCTGAGGAAAGACCGACTGGTTTGTTTTCGTGTTGACACAAGTCTGACTCAACAGCTTCAGGTCCGGCTGATGAAATGATGAAGGTTCAAGTCGGTTCACACGTTAAACAAACAGTTCACATGTTTGAACAGAGAGTTCGTCTCTCATCTACTGTACGAGTCTCCGAGTTTCCCCGACAACAGCTGCGCAACCAGGACGCGACCGACTTTCCGTCCTACCTGCGACGCCGGCCCACTGACCGAACGCTACGATGCGGTAGCCGTTAGGGTCGACCATCTTCTCGTAGTCGATCAGACGAACTTCCTGAAAAGACAAAATGAACATCGTTGTAGTTTTTTTGGGGGAGTTTGAATCTGCAGGAAAATCAAATGCACAAAGGCGACAGAAGAGTTTCTAATTAATGAAATATCTTTCACTAAACGTCTCACTGCTAGAAAATGAAAAGTGTTTGTGGTCCTTCTTTGAAGCTTTGACTTAATGAACTCTCTTCTTGCAAAGCGACTGAGAAGTTTACATTAACCAGCAAACTAAAAAGTGATTTTCATAAAATATTGGATTTATTTCTTGGAGTCAGTAACCCCCCCCCCCCCCTTTGATATACAGGAATATGTTTATATGTTTAAGTAAATTATATATCAGTTCCTGGGTGAGAGGTTTGGGATGGACGGAGGGATTTATATCTAAACCAGTCAAAATCAATAAAGATAAGTGATACAAAAAAATATCTTTCACTACATCATTGTGCTGTTTTATGAACTTTAAAGGTCTCAGTGCTGTGGTGTGTAGCACAGGTTCAGACCAGCTGCAGTTAATTAGCGTGTGAATTCTTGATTCATGGTCAAAAATGGGATTTGTGAGGTCACTGTGACCTTTGACCTCTGGCCATGAAAGTCTAATCAGTTCATCCTTGAGTTTAAGTGCCAGATATAATAACATCCCCTGCGTGTGTGTGTGTGTGTGTGTGCGTGTGTGTGTGTGTGAGCAACAGAAGTCAAGTTCTTCTGCACTAAGTGGAAAAACAGTGCACTGTACATCAGTGAGGAGGGATCTTTATATAATGAGTGCACTGTGCTGGTGTCTCAGGCTCCTCTAAGTGTTCTCACCTTCTTCAGCAGGTCCTCCAGCAGCCCCATGTTGGCCTCCTGAGCCTTGATAGTGTGGGAGAAGAAAGCGTACGTCTTCCTGGGAATGACCTTCTCCTCCGGCAGCCTCTTCACTCCGATTATCAGCGACGCCTCCGAAATGTCCTCCTGGATGACGGCCCCGGCCTTCATGTAGTACTGAAACCATAACAAAGCGCCGACTCAGGCCACCAGCAGAAACAACACAACACAGCACAGCACAGCGTGATAACACACACACACACCTGGATCGTTCAGTGTGTGAAACAAGCTACTGGAGACCGTTTATCAGTCCCATCGTTTCCACCAGGTTAAGTTTCAGGAGACAGCTCGGGGGGTGCTGCTCTCAGACTCTTTCAGCAGCTGCAAATACTGTTTTGCTTGTTGCTGGTTTTATAATAAGGATTGATAATCAGGATGGAGCGGAACCAAGAGATTTTACAATATTATATAAAAGCATTTTATTTTTCTTTCTCACTAATAAAACCATGCAATATGTTGGGAGACAGTCTTCATCACTGAACATTAACAACACTTCTGTATTTATAGCTGTTTATTTGTATCTGAATAGAGATTTTATTTTGATTTATGGGATGTTTTCTCAGTCTCTGTGTACCAACTGTACGTGGCCTGTTTCTTCTTCTTCTGCTGCTGCTGCTGCAACACCTGAGTGCTGTCTCACCTTAACACACTTTAACCTAAACTTCAGACTGGTACCGTGTTACTGAGTGAGGCTCCAGGTCCCAGACCGTCACCTGCAAAACGTCACAGAACCAGATCCATACACATAACTACAGAAACGTGCAAAACTACTACAATGACGTGCAAACCATTCTGCACCTCTTTCACTGTGGAGGTTTAAAATTTAAAAGACATTTGTCTCTTTTCACCGTCTCACCTTCTCGTGGATCGCTCTGCGGTTGGACGGCTGCACCAGGACTTTGACGCCGGCGTTGGTGAGCTCCTTGACATGGCGCGGGGCGAGCGGCGCCCTCCTCTCCCAGGGGTTGATGTCCTCGCGGCGGATGGCCATGACGGCCCTGTGGTGCTCATAGCGCCGCTGGCCTGCGAGGCAGCTCCGCGTCCTCTTACCTTGGTGACTGAGGAGTCTGAACATGACTTCACCCCCCCTGCTCGGGACAAGGAGCCACAGATGCTGAGTGGAGACTACAAACACTCACACAAACTGACAGAACTAGTTTTAATTAAACGGAAAAGTTAGTGAGTTTCTTTCTTTTTTGCACCTTTGACCCTCTGATAAAACAGCATGAGAATACCAGGGCTGCAACTATTGATCATTTTCATTATCAACTCATCTGCCGATTATTCAATCAGTGGATTAATCATTTGGCCTGACAATAGTGAAAAATGTCTTATGATGAATGATTATCCCGATAATTGTTGATGAACTTTCTGTCGATCGGCTCATTGATTAATCGCTGCAGCTCTATACTTGCAAGTCAGGGGAAATCGAGAGGTCAGAGGTCAAGTTCAGTTTGCTGCTGGGAGAGCGCTGCTGACGAACAGGTGGTTTTGACAGAGCAGGAAAATTACGACACACTAATGCAACGGAAAAAAACCAAACACTGCAAACAAGTTAATACCACATTTTTCAAACAACAGACGGATAGACAATCCCTTAAAACTGTCAACTCTTGTTTTAACATTTCAGTTTTTGTACAGATTAACCATAAGACATATTTGGTGTTAATCAGTGACTTTTAAGGTGATGGTAGGTGTTTCTGTTGGTCACATGTTTCCCCTGGTTCCAGACTGCATGCTTTATATTTGTAATAAAATCAGTACAAGTACAAATACTATTCCTTTAAGGCTTGACCCCTCAGATTTATCTTGCGGGCCCTTGAGGGGGCCCAAGCCCCAGGCTGGAAACCAGTGTTGGTAAGTTAAAGCAAACCTGAACTCACTGTAAATACTTTCTGAAACCCTGAAGAAAAATGTTCTACGAGTCACTATATAAAGAGAGCATTTAAATACCACAGATATACTGCGTGTATATTGATATATGACAATAATATGAAAGCCGATGAGTACAAAAAGCCCCTGCAAACTAGAGCATCAGTGGTTATAACGTCAGTATCGATCCCCGCGAGTACGAAATTAAAATAAGTGAAAATGTTAATGGAGTTCCGTGTTGACTTCAGTTCGCGGTCTCTGTGTGGCTTCAGACTTTACCGTAACCACATGTTTAGGTTCCGGGGTCTGGTCAACACTTGAACCCACTTCGAAACTCACGCTCCTTAAGTGGAGTTATCGTTTCGCTGATTAATTAATAGGCAGCGCGTGAAGCAGCGGTCGGGTGGAACCCACCTTTTCTTAACCGGTACCTTGCTTCACCACGCCGGCTCCTGGCGAGGAAATGTGACGACGGTTCACCGACAACACCGGAGAGTCACTCAGAGGTGAGTCGAGCTGCAACCTGCGACTTCTGTTTCTCGGGAGTAAACTAATCCGCTTCCGGTCAGAACTTCAAAATAAAACTTAATCTTCCATGTTGAGTTTAGCTAGCAGTTCAAATTGTTGTGTGTCAAGTAGGCTAATTAAATTTCATCATAGAAAAACAGTGATTCATTATTAATACAACTGAAAATTGTTTTCTTTAATTATGGACTGACTGTTTAGAGTTTAAAATGTGAGAAAAATTAAAAAATTAAAAAAATTTACTATTGTTGAGTGCAGTGGTGGAAGACGTCACTTTTACTTTAGTGAACATGCCAAAAGCAAATGTAATCAGACATTAACAATGACATGAGTCTTTCTTAAAATGTTAATGTACTGTCGCTTTTTATTAAATGAAACAATAGAAAATAAACAGTAATTGTTGCATATACAAAAGAATATAGCCTATGAGATCTGCTTCAGATTATTCTGCTGTTGTTGAAACCATATAGTTTTCACTGACTGCAGGACATGTGCATCCAGAATCTGATGATATTTAGTACAACCCACTCTTCACTCAATCTGTGTTTTCTCTGTGCCACTGGTTGCCACACAACCCCCGGAGCAGAATGTGTCTACCCCCATGCTGAGTTGGCAGAGTCTGGGGGGGGGGGGTGTTTAAGCGCTGACTTAGCAGGGTGCCCAAACTCTCACACATGCCACAGTTACTATTCAGTTTTTGTTTTTGTTTTTAATTTTCAAGTTCATAACATAAAAAGTAACAGTGCATTAACATTTGAAGAAAGGCTCATTTCAATGTCTGTTTGCTGCAGGGGTTGGATTTACTTCTTTACACTTTGATAATTAATAAACCATATAATTTGCCCAGGGGTGCCTAAACTTTTGCAAACAACAGTGTACAAAATACAATTTGCTGTTCTTAAATTTTGCATTCTGCGTTTTATTTTGAAGGGAACTACCACTTTTCCGGTTTTACGCTGATGACCGGTGCCTGAGGGAAGCGTTTTTCCAGGGAAATTGATGGAATGATGGAATTTCCCGCTTGTTTTGTTCGCAGCGTACCCCGAGTGGGCGGCTTCAACACAGTAACAAGGAGCATGTTAAAGATTAAAAAAAAAATGTTAAAGATAAAAACAAACAAACACTCGTGTCGGTGTTTGTTTTTACTCCAGAGAAAGTAAGAGGAGAGTATTGACCTGTTGAGGAGTTACTGTCAGGGTGGGTGGAGTTACTTGAATGTGACCGCCCGTAAGAGCCGCTCAAAGATTAAAAACGAGCGCCCATCTGCTGCAACCCTTCAAGGAGGACCTGTCCGCGAGCTCTAGCACCACGAGCTGCCTCTGCAGGGGTTTGAGGCAGCTCAGTCTGTCCGCCACTCAGCTTCCGGAGCCGAGGAACGGCCTCCTGCTCCGCCCGTCGCACCGTGATGACCGAAAGGAGCCGGGGGGAAAAAAGTGGAGGCACTGGTTTAGCCTACTCCACCTTTGTTTTCCTTCATAATCTTACATGTTTTATCAGCTCTGTGAAAATAATAAAGAGTAAATTAATAATTATCAAAACATTTTTGAAAACTTTTTTTTTTTGTTTTTTACCTTATTTTATTTATTTATTTATTTTATTTTCTATTTTTAGTATCATTATCCTTGTCCATTATATTTTGGCTTCTTTTCGTAAGACTCTATTGTAATTTCCACAAGTTTTTTTGATTATTAAAGTTTTTTTATTAAAGGAAAAAAACAAACAAACCTAAAAACCTGCTTTGAAAAAAAAAATAAAAATTCTGCTTTGTTTTTGCAGTGTGAACAGAACAGTTGTCAAAACCAATAGTAGACCACTTGTATGTCACTATTTATTTATTTGTTTGTTTGTTTATTCATTTATTTTGGCTTTAATTTGAAAGATCTGTGTTGTACAGAAGCTAATTTTGCCAAAAACAGATGAACAGTTGGTAAAAATAAAAAATGCAAAAGAAAAATAATGTTTAAGTCAAAAATAAGACGGGAAGTAAAAATGTTGACAAAATTTTACCGCATATGACAATAAAATTTGACTTTCTAAGTGACTTAGTAGGCACATCCTTTTCATAAAAGTTTTAATTTTGTGCTCAAACATCAAACAAACAAACTGGTTATTTTATGAATAATTGGAAAATAATAGTTTTTATATTTTCTTAGTTGATAAATCTTTTAGGTTGAAATCAAACTATTTCAATGTAGATCCTCAGCATCTGAATAAAAACGTGTTTATTTAGATTTTTTTTTTACTTTTGTTTGGCTAATATGAAGTTATAGTCTTGTTTAATATTTATTGGTGTAATACTTTATAAAAATGTGTTGAAGACTTGATGACACACAGTTGATTTTATTTATTATGTTTCCTTGTTAAGCGTCTGCAGCAGGAGGACCAAAGAAAACTAACTTTTCACCGTGACAAGAAACTTTTGTTTTCATATACCATAGTCTTCAGTTCAGCTCTTCTCTTTAAGTTATAACAGTGGTACAATTTAAAATAAATATCATAAAACACTTCTTTTTACAATAATCCTGAGACTGAAATAAAAAATACAAGAGACTGACTGAGGAGACTCGACTCCCTCCATCAGTCAGGACCAGAGATGCAGAGGTGAAGCTGTGACTGTAGTCCAGTCCACAAGTGTTCAAGACAATGTTTGTATTTTATATAAAACCGGGGATAAATCTGTCACTTTAAACTAATTTGAAGGTGTTCACGTCCAAGTGGCATCTACATCATGACTGGAATGGTTTCATTATTACCCTAAAACCAACCAGTCCTCTAGAGCTGACATTATTAAGTTCATCAATTGGCAACAATTTAGATAATTTTCTGACATTTTATGACTCAACAACTGATTATTAAAGAAAACATTGGTCCCCATCGATCCCTTATGACCTTTTCTAAGGTTTATATTGAACGTCAGTGTTGCAGATTTATGACAAATTTGCGATTAATCATTAATAAATGTCTAAATGATGTGGAGTAAACCTGGTGGTTTGGGGCCAGGGGCAGTTGCCTGCTTTGCCCAGTTGGTGATCCAGCCTTGATTCACTGTATTACAATCGTTTTTAAACATATAGTACTAATGGTCAAATGTATATTCTGTTTCTATCACAACTTTAGTTTTATTTCTGAAGTTTTGTTCATCGTTTCCATGAGTTATAGCGACACTGTACTCACCAAGTTAATCAGGTGAGGTCTGGGGAAACACCGTGATACCACTTGAAGAGAAATCTGACCAGTCAAGAAACAAACCAACAGTTCATCCAGATTATCTGAACCACTGTTTGTGGAGGTCAAACTGAAATGAGGCCTCATTACACAGAAGAGCTGTGTGACCACAACCACAGGAATGGCAGCAGGTCAAAGCTGAAGTAAGAAGATAATTTTAATACATTTGGAGATTGTGTTTCTGGACTCGTCAGACTTGTTTTTAATGATGCTAACGAGCTCCCACTGTTGTCGTTATTACTGACAGAAATTATGGATGAAAACGACAAAAGAAAGACTGACGTTGTAATAAATCACTCAGTGGTGGAAGAAGCATTCAGGTCTGTTGATAATGTAAAAAGAGAAAGATTAGGCTGATATACATGATATTACTGTTATGTTATTATGTTGCTGTATAGATCATATTTTATAAGGTTTGTAAAATCTTAATTTGTCAGATCAGATAAATAGTGGAGTAAAAAGTACAATATCTCTCTAGAAGTATTAAGTACAAGTACATTAACTTTGTACTTGAATATAAAACACTTCCAAACACTGTGATCATGTGACTGAAGCTCCATATTTAGGTCACGTGATGAGAACTGAGTCGATGCCATTTGTTGATGAAAACTGTGAGATTGGATTGAAAGCTCTGGAAAAAAAAAAAGCTGGTAAATCTTGACCTTGTTGTCAAGGTCTTTCATATTTAAACTTCTGGAAAAATACCAGGTTGATTTTACCTGCTGCCGTGAATTACTGTGAATGTTTAACATGTTTATGACAAAGTACAAGCTGGTGTTAATCTGTATTTTTCTTTTTGTCAATAAATCACATTAAAAAGACCAAAAACAACAATGTGTTTGTTTGTCTCTGTATCGTTTGGGACTATTTTCAGTGGCGGATTTATCCACATTTATGCCTCTGGTGTGTGTCTGGCTATAGGACGGTGTGTGTGTAACTTTGTCAGAAAAATATAGAAATTCATCAGACCCGTCCTTTAAAATGTTGCTGTAAATCCTGATTTTGACAATAAAATCTGCGTCTCTTCACCTCTGCCACATCTCTGGTCTCAGAGTTCATCAATCTCACATCCTGAGATGAAACTGAAAGATAATTAAAACTAGTGATCACTGATGACTAATGATATAATAATTAGCCACCATTATGATATAATAATCAAATAAGAATCAGAGGACAGGAGAGTCAAAGTTCAGCTCGTCCTCTGTCGAGTGTCCTCAGTCCAACACGAGCTGAGCCAAGAAACGCTGCGGCCAGTCAGGAGGTTTTCTCGTGCGAGTGTCCAGGGCATGAGGGAGTCAGAGGTCAGGGGTCAGTTGCTCCTGATGGCTTTTTTCTTATGCAGGGTCAAGTTCAAGGGGGGAGGTGTCGAGTCTGCGGGGTCGACAGGCCCGGAGGGGTCGAGGACGGGGTTTTCTCATGTGTTTCTTCTGGGTCACATTTAGGGGCGGAGCATCAAGGACATTTGTACAAATAAAGTGTTTGTTATTTGTAGGAATTTGTATTTAACAGACGACAGACTCTGGGAACTGAATCACATATAAGTGACATTAAATACACTAATTTAATTAAAAAAAAACGTCAGGAAATAGGAATAAAAATGAACCTAATGTGATAAAATACTGTCAGATTCCAGAGGATTCATGTAAAAATGTTTCATTTTAGAGTAAAATTTTAGAAATACTGACATCATGAGTCTATTTATCATTCCTCCGATCATGAGTGGAAACTTTTTCTCTGGGACAGGCCGACGCCGCACACTGTGTAAACATCATTATCCATTTC